GAACCTTTGTGGGGGAGGTACCAGAAGAAATGCTTCGACTTTATAATAGATGAAAATATATATGTACCAAATTTGAATGGAATCGGGTGTTAATGGGATCGGGCGTTTTATGAGTTTCATGGATATTTAAAATTTTTACCTGTTGTGGAGAGATACCAGAAGGGGTGGAGCGATATATCCCATCTTCACGCCAGATCCTGTGTTAGTAGAAATAATGGAATGTGTGAAATATGAAAAAAAAACCGGATGCTTATTTCGGATTTTATAATCACTTTGGTTATACAAAACTTTGACCCTTTGTGGGGGAGGTGCCAGAAGGAATGGTCTGATCGCTAACATCTTTATAACACATCTTGTGTTGATAGAAATATTGAAATGTGCCGAGTTTGGAAGGAATTGGATGCCCATTCCGCGTTTTACGAGCTTCATGGCTATTCAAAATTTTGACCCGTTATCTGGGAGGTACTAGAAAGAGTGGAGCGATATATTTCATCTTCGCACCAGACTTAGGGTTAATAAAAATATTGTGATGTGTGCAATTTGAAGACAATCGGACTCTTACATCACATTTTATAGGAGTTATAATTATTCCAAATTTCGACCCTTTGTTGGGGAGCTACTTGAGGAAGTGGACCGACATTGTCCATTTTCGCACCTGGCCTTGCACGGATGCAAGTATCAGGATTTTCAAAGTTGGAGCAAAATCGGATTATTCTTTCTCTTTCTGTGCATTTTGACCTGTTGTGGGGGATATACCGGAAGGAGTGGACCGATATTGCCCCTCTTCGAGCTGGATCTAATTTTAACAATAATATTACGACGTACCATGTTTAGACCAGATCAGATACTTTCTTTGAGAGTTATCGTGCGCACTAGCCAGACAGACGGACATCGCTAGATCGACTCCAAATGTCCTGAAACGGATTTTGTCCAAGGAGACATAAGGTCTTAAGTCGTTATTTCGATGGGGCACGTTTTGGCTGAGGGCATAAAAACAATCGAGAGTATTGCACGTTTCCCGGTTTTCACACCAACAAATGTCTCTGTCAGAGACCATCAAGAAAACTCACTTTCAATATTCAATGCAGTCCATATGTTTTCCATAGCATTAATAAAATGAATAGAATTTCTAACAAAAAAAAAATTGTTATAAAAAATGTAAAATATAAACACTTTTTCTGTCATGACAATATTTATTGGCATTTATTTATATTTTTTTCCAATTCAAAGACAAGCTATTGATTTAAATAAATTGTGTTCTGTGTTCCTTACAATTATTCTCCTCGGACATGAAATTCTTAATTTTATGACAGATGTAATGTTGTTGTCATTCGGACAACAACAACTGGTTCTCACAACCGACAAATGAAATATTGACAAAGAACTTGCTTCGAGTGCCTCATGTCATATTTTTAATAAATAAAACAAAAAAATGAAAATAAATATAGGCGCCAAATGCATTTCAAAACATTTGCATATTTAGCCGGAGCGAAAGCCCAAGCCCTGTTACTGAATTGCTGAATAAACATTCATTTGTGTTTGAGTTGGATTATTAATTAATCGGTTCTTTCTCGTTGCTCTTTCATTGTCTTGTGGACACTTGTAGATAATTATGTTTGCATTTTTTTATGATCGACTGGCTGCTTGACTGACTGACTGCCTCTTTGAGACAATTGGCTGCAGACTGAAATTGCGGAGAAAATTGCAGAGTTGAATGGCTGACGTTTGTTTTTTTTTTTATTGACTTGTAAAAGTAGCGTAATTAAATGTTTATTGTTTATTTGTCAACGGCGCTCATAAACAAATTGTAATTTACAATTGCAATTAAGATTTAGCATTGAGTCTGGTCAGGCACGCTTTTTTGCTGGTCCGGTTTTTGCTGTTAAAATGTTGTTTGATATGGATAGCAATTATTTGATTTTAAGAGGATTTTTTTATTTAAACTTTAAAATGGTTAAAAAATTGGACAAGCTTTTAAGTCTTTTGTAGAAAGAAGACCATATAATAGGCATTCCATAGAGAGAATGATTTTTATTTTTATATGGTCAGAGAGGTTATATTTTATTTGATAAGGCCAAAACGTGCCTCATCGAAATAACGGTTTTAGACCCTATGTTTCTTTGGACCAAATCCGTTTCAGGACATTTGGAGTCGATCTATGGATCGCTCACGATAACTCTAAAGGAATTTTTCCATCCTTGGTATATCGTAATATTATTATCAAACCTAGATCGAGTTCGGAGATGGGTACCTAGTAAATCTAGTATTTGCATCAGTTCTAGTTCATGTGCGAAAATTTACGATTCGGTTCACCCTCTTAAGTACCTCCCCACTAAAGGTCAAAATTTTGAATTTCCTTCAAATTACACACATCACAATCATTTTATTAACCCATCTAGTGTGAGGATGAAATAAATCGGTCCACTCCTTCTGGTACCTCCCCCACATTTTGAATATATATGAAGCACATAAAATACGAAACTAGCGATTCCATTCACACTTGGCATATCTCAATATTTCCATCGACACAAGATCTGTTATAAAGATGGTGGAGATCGGGGCATTTCTTCTTGTACCTCGTTAGAGCACTCACATTTAAATGCTGAAATGTGAATAAATCTTTTCTGTTTCGTACCATCGCTCGTAACCTTGCTACTGGTAGCGTAGCCCGACGTCAAGGGAGTGGACGAAAGAAAACCACAAGAAAACCACGGAAGAAAACCACAACATCAGCAGAAATTTTGCGAAAAGTACAAAAACGACTTGATCGAAATCCGCGTCGCAGTGGCCGAAAAATGGCTCGTGAGCTGAATATATTGCAATATTCCATTCGGAAAATATTGAAAACTGAGCTCGGAGTGAAGTCATTGAAATTCCAAAAAGTACAAGAACTTACACCCCAACAGAAAGAAATTAGACTCAAAAGAGCTTAAAAGTTCGTTGTCCAGCTGTTTGTAAACAAACAAAATGATCGTGTTTACTTGACAAAGAGGACAGCTGAAAATGTGCAGCTTCTGTTGGCCAACAGAACTCAAGAGCCGGCCTTGGTGATGGTGTGGGCCACCGTAACAGCCGATGGCTGCTCTCAGCTCGTATCAATCGAATACAAAATTGAGCACGCAAAGATTCGGCCGCATACCTTGGACATTCCAACAGGACTCAGCACCATCGCATTCAGCATGCGCCACCCAAAAATGGTTACAAAATTAGGTTCCCCGCTTCATTTCCAGCGAACAATGGGCACCAAAATCTCCGGATTGCAATCCGTTGGACCATTGTGTCTGGAGTATTTTGGATAGCAAGGTTGGCACTTAAAAATATCAAAGTGTCGATCACTTCAAGCAATCGCTTCGCCAGGAATACCTCATGCAAAATACCGCAGAGCAATATTCGGGCAGCGTGTGACGGTTTCATTGGCCGTTTGAAGGCCATAATTCGTGCCAAAGGTGACCAATTCGAACAAATCTAAATTTATTCTAAGATTTTATGCTATTTCCGATTTATTTTGCTTTCATTAAATGAAATTTAAAAAAAAATGTAAAAATTATGGCGTTTGACTTTGTTGCAGTTTTTTTTATCTCACCCTTTATATCCAGAATTCAAGAAGATTTTCTAAAATTAGAAAGTTTTTGAATGTCTATTCCAGGTAGGAAACCATACGAAGATCCTTCTGAGTCTCGATTTTAAATAGAAGACCTTCTGTGGGTCTTTCACTGATAGAGGAACTTCATTGGAAATGTGTACTAAAACTGTACAAAAAGTACTAAATGGCACTAAATAAGGTATTTGGTGAAGGGAAATAGCAGGAATCCTGAAATTAGATATTGAGCTCTCTGTTGATATCTGTGTTTGAGATTTGGCGGCTATTTGGAAATGCGTCCTATATTTGTACGTAAAGTACTAAACGGTACTAATGCTGAAATTTTATGTTGAGCCGTTTGTTGGTATCTGGGATTGAGATATGGAAGTGGTTCTGAAAATGCGTACTATAATTGTACGAAAAGTTCTAAATAGCACTAAATTTGCTATTAGGTGAGGGGATAGTGCTGGAATCCTGAAATTTGATATTGACCTCTCTGTTGGTGTCTGGGATTGAGATATGTGAATATGTACTAAAATTGTACGAAAAGTACTAAATGGTACTAAATTGGTTATTAGGTAAAGGGAAAGAGCAGGAATCCTGAAATTTGATATTGAGTTCTCTGTTGGTATCTGTGTTTGAGATTTGGCGGCTGTTTGGAAATCCGTCCTATATTTTTACGAAAAGTTCTAAGTGGTACTAAATTAGGCGTTGGGCCAAGGAATATAGCTGGGATCCTGAAAATTGATATTGAGCTCTCTCGTGGTGTTAGGGATTGAGATATGGAAGTTGTTTGTTCTAAAATTGTACGAAAAGTACTAAATGGTACTTAATAGAGTATTGTAGGGAAGGATAGGTCTGGAATCCTGAAATTTGATATTGAGCTCTCTCTGAATATCTGGGATTAATTTATGGTGGTGGTTCGGAAATGCGTCCCATATTTGTACGAAATGTGCCGAATTGGGTATGGGTGAAGGGATAGAGCACGAATTCTGAAGTTTGATAATGAACTCTCTCTTGGTGTCTGAGATTGATATATGATCGTGGTATGCAAATGTGTCCTAGATTTGTACGAAATATGTCTTATATTTGTAAAAGTGTCCTATATTTGTATAAAAAGTACTAAATGGTACTGTATTTTGTTTTGGACGAAAGGTTAGAGCTGACATCCTGAAATTTGATTTGGCGGTGGTTTTGAAATGCGTCCTTTTTTTGTACAAAAAGTACTAAAAGGTACTAAATTAGAATCCTGAATTTTGATTTTTATGTACAAGGACTTTTTATCAATAGAAAATCCATTGTAGGGCTTTACCGGACCGGTCGATCGGTTGGTATTTTATTCGATCCAGTATTTGATTAGGATTTTTTCCAAATAAATTTACCCCCCAAATATTTCAAAAATTACATGACTACAACTTACTTTTCCATATCTTTGGCATCCATGGGGGGATTGCGATTAATAACATTCGTTTCGAAGGGATCCTCAGTGGTGGTCTTCGACGATGACGGTGGTGCATCGGTGACCGGTCCCGTTGAATAACCCCGTCGCGCCGGTATTATTGCCGGTGGTGGCAATGTTGTAGTTGTGGTTGTCGGCCGCCGTGGTGGCACATATCCGCCACGTCTGGACCAATCGGGAATGATACGCTTGCCGGTGGCACTGACAAACTCCACATCGTCGCTGTTATCATCACCTTTGCCCGCAGCATGATTCGATGGCAACAACGAGTTATAGGTGTTTGTGTGGATGTTGTAGGTGTTGTAGGCCCATTCGTCGCGTGCATTGCGTCTGGCGTTGAAGCGTCGCTGAACGGCTCGATTATAGAAGTCATCCTGATTTAAACGTTTCAATTTTGTTGCGTTGAAATTCTTTGGTAAATTTACGGCAGCATCGATTAGTTCTACTTGGGATGTTAGAGATTTGGTTTCTAATTTCTTCGACTGCCTGTGGTTGTGTGGGGATGTGGTGATGGCTGGTGAAGATGATGGTGATGAAGACGCCGCCGCCATGGCAACTCCTGGTGTTGTTATGTGATGCCTTTGTTGGTGTTGTTGTTGTGATCTTGCCGTTGGCTGTTGATTTAAATTCTGATGCTGATGCAGATGCGGCCGATGTTGATGGTGATGATTGTGATTCCTGTTGTTCGGATGCTGCTGCTGATGATGATGTTGATGATGGTTATGCGGATGTGTATTGTGACGTGTGTGATGCTGTGTAGTTTGTTGCAAATGTTGTGACGCCTGTTGCTGCTGCTGCAGCTGTTGTGTTCTTGTGTCTACGGTCTCAGCTAAAACCGTTAATAGACCACATAATACCACAAACATTATGTGGCTAAAAGCATTTGAGAGTTTCATTTTTGTTGTTGTTGTTTTTTAATTATTTTTATTTCTCTTTGGCAGGTATTTTGTGGTATTCTCTTCTGTGTTCCTTGACTTGCTTAGCAATGGAGATCGACCACAACTGGTGCCCGAGGTGGAAGCTGCGGTTTAATTGACTGCGTTGAAAATGATCCTGCAATGAAGAGTAAATGAGAATTTATTTTATTAAAAGCGTTCTACTGAAATTTGAGAAAATACAAAGATAAATATTTGAAATCGATATTTTTTTTATAACCTACAGCATAGTATATTTAGTTTGTCATTCATGTCATTACAACGACAAAATCGGGCGAACTCAAATGGAGAACATGGCCAAAACAAAAAATCGGGGGGGCTATATCAAAATGTGGATCGATATGACCGATTTTCTATTTAAATGATTCAGAAAGAAATCCTAAGATTCTTATCATATCGCTGTATATACAGGGTGAGATAAAGAAACTGCAACGAAGTCAAACGCCATAATTTTTACATTTTTTTGTAAATTTTATTAAATTAAAGCAAAAAATGTCGGAAACAGCATCAAATTTTAGAATACGTTTGGATTTGTTCGAATTGGTCAGCTTTGATACAAATTACGGCCTTCAAACGGCCAATAAAACCGTCACACGCTGCCCGAATGTTGCTCTGCGATATTTCGGCCCATTCCAGGCGAAGCGCATGCTTGAGGTGATCGACACGTTAATAACTTTTAGTGTCAACTTTGCTTTCAAAGATACTCCAGACACAATAGTCCAACGGATTGGTATCCGGAGATTTTGGTGGCCATTGTGCGCTGGAAATGAAGCGAGGAACCTCATTTTGTAACCATTCTTGGGTGGCGCGTGTTGAGTCCTGTTAGAATATCCAAGATCTGCGGCAAAAATGTTTGTGTGCCCAAGGCTTTTTCGCCATTATATTCGGCATTTATTCTGATGCCACGGTCGATTAATACGAGCGTATAGCGACCATCGGCTGTTATGACTGCCCACACCATCACCATGGTCGGCTCTTGAGTTCTGATGGCCTACCGAAGGTGCACATTTTCAGCAGACCTCTTTGGCAGGTAAACACGATAATTTTGTTTGTTTACAAACTTTTGGACACCGAATGTTTTCTCGTCGGAATGGAGAAAACCAAATTCGGCAGTTCACCACTTTCGGACAAGCGAAGCAACTTTTTAGCTCTTTTGAGTCTACTTTCTTTCTGTTGCGGTGTATGTTCTTGCTCTTTTTGGAATTTCAAAGGTTTTACCCAGAGCTCATTTTTCAATATTTGTCGAAAGGAATATTGCTATATGTTCGGCTCGCGAGCCATTTTTCGGCCACTGCGACGCGGGTTTCGATCAAGTAGCTTCTTTACTTTTCGAACCATTTCTGTTCTGATGTTGCTGTTTTCTTCCAACCACTTCCTCGACGTCGGGCTACGCTACCAATATCACCGTAACGACCGATGGTACGGGACACAAAAGATTTATTCACATTTAAATGCTGGAGTGCTCTAACGATAGCCACTTGCGGTTTTCCAGCCAAATATAAAGAAATCACACTATCACGCTTGAAATCCATCACGAATAACTTTTTTTCTGGAAAATTCTCACCAAAATGCTTTTGTACGCTTGTAAACAATATAATGAGCTGTCACTGGAATAATTTCAACAGCTGTCGGACGAGTGACTTAGAAATGACAGCAGTCTGAAGTTGGTTGCTGTTTTTTCTTCTCACCCTAGTACACATTTCCAACCATAGTTGACATGAAAAGCGATCCCAATACCAAATTTTAGATTTCAGGCTCTATCTCTTCTCTCAATTTCAAATTGTACCAAATATTGTACTATTTAGTACATTTCGTGAACTTGTAGTAGATGTATTCAAAACCACTTCTTTATCACAAACCTACCACCAAACAGGGAGTCCAATACAAAATTCCAAACATGTCAGCTTCATCCGTTCACCCTAACCAAGAACTATTCCAAATTTAGTACCATTTAGTACAGTTCGTACACTTTTCCGAACCACCTTCATATATCAAACTTACTTTCCAACCGTGACTCTCAAATCAAATTTCAAGTTTTTAGCTCTATCTATTTACATAATAGCAAATGGTACCATTTTTGAAGTTTAGTACCATTTTAGAACTTTTCGTCATCTTTAAGTTGGGATTTCCAAAAAACTCTTTGGTCTATCTACCCTGCACTCCATCCTGTGACTCTCATTCAGATTCTAGCTCCTTTCGTTTGTCCAACATCAAGTAACCAATTTTTTTTTATATTTTAGTACTTTTCGTACCCTTTTAGTACGAATTTCCAAAAAGCCAGCCAACGCACCATTTCCACTGCAAACATTCCCTCCGACTTTGCCAAACAAAAAACCAAAACCACAAACAAATATTTTTCTTTTTTTTTTTGTATCTAAGGTCAGGACTACAAATTTCGCTGAATTGCAAATTTATTAGTCACTTCCTCGAATGAACGAGAGAGTGAATCAAAAACACTCATCTCATAAATTATTCAGGCACGTTTCCATGGTATCCAAGAAATGTTGGTTCCCACAGATTCCCAGAAATACGGTTATGTGAAAATCACTTCAGAAATATGTCAACATTAATAAAGCTCCATTGGCTGGCTAAATGACCTTGCCTGCATTGGAGCCAAATCAAAGCCAACGAAAAAAAAAGAAGCCAACAAAGTTTGGGACATCAAAAAAGAAAAAAAAAAAACAGCATAACGAAAAAGATTTGAAACAATCTTCCTCCAACAATGGCTCAGGCAAAAGAACGGCAGCAGCAGCGCCACCACCACCAAATATTGATTAGAAAAGCATTAAATCATCATCCATGTCGGCGTTGTGGCCATCGTCGTCGCCCTCCCCTGACATTCGTAGAATAAAAGCAAAATGCAATCAAAACAATCAAAGATAACAACCTCAAATTAAAGTTTTATAAAAAAAAAAAAACAAAAAAACATTTTGGGTTTATTTTCCTCTTCTTCCTTCCATCCTTTCGAATAGAGGTTTATGAATTTTTGATTTCAAAAATAAAAAATAAATCTTAGCGGATTTCGATAAATTGTCACTTCGTGTGTGGTTCGATGCGAGTCTGTGTGTGTGCGTTTCGGTTTTGCCTGAATAACTTTGGTTTGATATCTATCTATAACCCATGGCTTAGAATGGGCCTGGCTGCAGCTGTCTATCAGTCTGTCGGTCTGACTGCTTGGCAATGAACTTCAATTCATTTGAATCATCTGCACCCATCAAATGCTTGCAACCTTTTGTGGTTAGTTGGAAAAACTTGGTAGATTCACAGGCTTTGGTAAATTGGAGGGTGGGGGTGTAGACAGGGCCCAGACAATTAAACCGCAACCAAACTAGCATAAATCAATATTAAGGTTAGGTTAGGTTAGGTTAGACGCAACCAGGCGGCCATTCGAACATGTATATAGGAAATGAAGAACATGTCGTTTGTTCCTGCATCATGAATTATTCATAATGACTCAGTGTTGTGTCTGGTTTTGTAAATATATTATTTTTTACCGTGGTTTCGGATTCGCGTCTTGAAATTCCAGCACCACCATTTTTATACCCTCCACCATAGTATGGAAACATATTAAGTTTGTTATTCCGTTTGTAACACCTCGAAATATACATTTTAGACCCAACAAAGTATATATATTCTTGATCAGCATACAATTCTATGTCGATTTAGCGGTGTCCGTCCGTCTGTCCATCTGTGGAAATCACTCTGGGTTCCGAACGAATTGAAGTAGATCGATAAAATTTTACTCAAATGTATGTTATGTGTGCAGGATTTTTGGTATTGAAAATGGGCTATGTAGGTCCACGTTTTGGTATAGCTCCCATATAACAGTACCTCCCCATATTCTGTATTTTAATGATTTTAGCGACATTATTTACCAGATTTGTTTCAAATTTGGTATTTGAAGTTTGTAATGGATACTACAGCCTCAGACAGAACATTGTCTGTGCAGGTACATGTTTTCGTTAGCCCCCATATAACGGTACCTCCCGATATTCGTTACTTTATTGATTTTAGCGACATTGTTCGCCGGAATTCTTTCAAATTTTGGTATTTGATGTTCGTAATGAATGCTACAGCCTTAGACAGAAAATTGTCTGTGCCGGTCCAAGTCTTCGGATAGCCCCAATATAACGGTAATGGTTTACGATAATAGTAATGCAGGTCCACGTCGTCGTATAGACCCTAATATAACGGCTGCATTCGGTATTTTTAAGATTTTGACAGAATTTTTAACGGATTTTATTTTTTTTGAAAATTGTCAAAATAGTTCCAAATTGTAGAGGGTATTCAAAGATCGGCCCGGCCGAACTTACAGCTTTTTTACTTGTTCAAAATTTAATTTTCTCATTTTGAATAACTCTTAGAACTGATTTTTTAGCTAGAAAAAGTCAATTCTGTGTAACTAAGTATTGAATTAAGTGATTCTGTAATAAGTTAACGACGGAATTATCGAGCTTGACCCGAAGTCATTGCAGGAAAAATTTTGCAAATTATAAAAGTAGAGCAGAGTAGAGTAGAGTAGAGTAGATAAAAAGTATCAGTCGGTTTTGCAGACAGGTATATGCCTCCAGCCAATGTTCGATTATTAAAACATAGTTTGGCTTCTATTATGATTATTCAAGTTGTAGACCACCTATGGAGTAGGTTCCGAAGAAATGGGCCAATATTGTCCATTTCGTATCGGACTTAAATAGATATAATATAAATATGCCAGGTTTGGACTACATCGACTACTTCCATCACATTATATGAGTTATCTGATAATTTTTAGAAAATATTGAAATGTGCGTGAGACATCCAGAACTGCAAGAGTGTAAACATTTTTCAAGAAATTTCAAGGAAATCGAACACTTATATTCAATTTTATGCGAAGCCAAAAAGTCACATCCATCTCAGGTCTCTGGTTGAGAGAAATATTTAGATATAGCAAGTTGTAAAGAATCGATGACTTATTTCGCAAATTATGACAGATAAAAAAAATTAAAATTGTGGCCCTTTGTGGGTGAGGTACCAGAAGGGGTTCGCAGATATCAATCATCCTCACAACAAATCTTGTGTCAGTAAAAATTTTTGTATGTGTGAATTTTGAAGAGATGTGGATGTTTTTTTCGCTTTCTA